GGGAGGACCAAGTGTGAAAGGCTAAGGTGGGTTCAGAGGTTCCTTCCTGACTTATCCCCTAAGACCCTCTCTCAACTCACCAGCTGCTCCCTCCAGAGCCAGGCTGCTAGGAAGGAATGGGGTCTTTCCAGGCTCCCACAGTCCCAGTTCCCGAACCCATCTGGGTAATGGGAGAGTGGCATGGCACCCACAGCCTTCTAGAGATTTCCCAGCTCTCCCAGCAGGCCTGGCTGCATCTGGCCATCCTGCCTTAGGCCCTGGTCTAGACTGATCCACAGGTGACCTTTGTCTAGCTCATCACATCCTCAGTGCCCACTGCCCTGGGGACAACATAAAACAGGTCAGAACCATCTTGTCTGCCTTCTCAATCCCTCCCAAGAAGCTGCTGATCCAGGTAATGCCCCTTGAGAGGGGGTCGGCGTGGACAGGAGAGCAGGATGAAGAGGGGCAGAGAAGGGTCCCTGCCGGCCCAGCCTGCAAAGCCTGGAGAGGAGCTTGCTAGACCCGAGGAAGACTTGGGGCTTGATGAATGGCCCCCACCTTGGATTGCACACTGGGAGAGACTGAGGCCCCTGAAAGGGAGGCCACTTCCCCAAAGCTACATAGAGTGTAGTGGCAGAGCTGAAACTGGAAGTGCCTCCTGATCTGCACACTTTCCCCTCATCCTGCATGTTTAGGACTAGGAGAAGCCTTAGACACTCCAGTACCATGGTAGACAGAAAAACTGAGGCTTGGAGAGGGGCAGAAGTCCACCCAGATTCACACAGGATGTTAGTGGCAGGAACCAGGCCAGGACCCAGATGTCCTGATTCCTAGTCTGGTGGGTTTTCTGCTGCAGCCTGCACCTCCCTCCCTCTGGGCTATGGCTCCCTGAGCATACTGTCTGAAAGCCCCTCATCTCCCCACATTAGCTAGCAAGGGAACAGGCCCTGTCTCTGCCTGGCTCCTCCCAGCTCCAGTTTCACCCTAGGGGCTACACCACTTCCCCAGGGACCTGGAGCATACCTCAGAAGACACATCCCTGCAGGAACAAAGGTGCCATGCAGCCCAGACCCTCCTCATGGTTGCCCTACTGGAGCTCCCGGCTTCTGTCTGTATGCAGTCTGTGGGGACTGGGCATGGGACAGGTGGGGATGGGTAGATTCTGACCCAGGGAACTGTTGGGAGGTGGCTTGATGATCCTGGATTGTGATGGGTGGCTGGGCAGGAGCCAGGGACTCCCCAGAAGCTGATCCACCCTACTCAACCCTACTGTTCTGCAAGAGCTGTGGAGGCAGAGGATGCCTCTCTTTTGGGCTTCATGCATGGCTACGTGCAGCAAGCCAGCAAAAGAGCTCAGGATGTGGTGACCGGTGTACAGAACTCCCAGCTGGCCCAGCAGGCCAGGTACACCCTCACTTCCCATCCCGGGTGCCCGCTCCATCTGCCCCCATCTGTCCCTGACTTAGTTACAGCCCCAGAGGTAGGGCCGGGGCTCTCCTGTACCTCTCGGAGCCTCCATGCCCCCTTGGTCTATAAAACAGGGACCCTCACAGGGCTATTCCAGGCTGCCGTGGAGAGGCGATGGAGGCCTCTACCCCCTCCTGGCACAGTCTCCCTTTGCAGCCTCTCCTTTCTCCCTCAGTGCTCTACGTGGCTTCAAGGAAGGACATTTGAGGCCTCACTTCCATTTTCCTCTTCTGCCAGCCTGGCCACCAGTTCGGCAGACACACTCCCCCAACCTCATTTCAGCCCAGTGTGTGTGTCCATGTGTGAGTCTAGTTCCAAGCGCCGGGCCTGTCCTTCTTCTACCACGCTGCCCTGCCCGCCAGCCCCTCCTCCCACCTCCACGCCACCAGCGTTGACTGGCATTTATGCAGCAGAAGCATATTCACAAACACTCTCAGTCCTCAGAACCAGCTGTGGCATAGGTATTATTTTCTCCATTGTGCCGATGAGAAAATCAAGGCTCAGGGAGGTTAAGTGACCTGCCCCCTCACTAAATAAATAGATTTAGTGACTTGCCCCGTCTCTAAATTTATGCATTTCAAATAAATTAAAAAAAAAGTTTTTTATATGTTTATAAATAAATCCATCACAGAATTTATTTATTTATAGCCAATAAATCCTGTGATGACTTTCCAAATGAGAAACTGTCTCCCTTTGCCCTACCTCACTCAGAGCCATGAGGTTGTATAATTCTTGGAGTGACATTTGTCTAAGACAGAATCGCAGACCTGACCTTGCACACCCTCCCTCCCAGTCGCTCCTCTCCAGTTCTCCCCAGAACAGTGGGAGCACCGGTATCTGTCCCAACCCGGAGGACAAGTCTGGGTGAAGCTCTAGGGGACCCTGCCTAAGGTCTCAGGAGTGTTGCTGGGTGAGGCTGAGAGGGTGGGGGAAGAGGTGGGGATCTATGGGGACCCCCTCTCATCCTCACCTATATTGTTTCCCCTTGCTGATTACCCCCCAAGGGATGGATGACAGATGGCTTCAGGTTCCCAAAAGATGACCGGAGTACACTTATGGGCACGTTCTCCAACTTCTGAGATTCAACCCCTGAGGCCACACCAGCAGCCTCAGACCTCAACACCCGGAGTCTATGTGTCCATCCATCCTGCCAGCTCCTGAAGTTCTCGTGAGAGGGACAGCATTCTGTTCCTCCCATCCCACCCCTGGTCCACACCCAGGCATGCTGTCCTCCTAATAAAGCCGGACGAAGAGCTGCATGTGCGGCGTATGTTTGGGTTTGGGCACGGCCAGGCTGTTCTGCAGGCAGGCGCAGGGCTGAGCAGGCCTAGGGCCGGTATGCTTCCCATCTCTTTGTGTCTGGGCCCAAGTTTCTCCATCTGTGAGGTAGGAATAACACTACTTACCCTGTCTGCCTCGATGGGTTTGTGTGGAGGAGCAAACAGGCTCATAGGCTTGACAATGCTCTGAGAACCTGCCAAATGCTGTACGATGGGACTTGAAGGTGTACTCTGTGTCGGGTACTGTGCCTGGTACGTCCATGTCATCAGAGTTGAGACTGCGTGTGTTCACCAGAATTACGGAGCTGGTTTACACTACCTGGGCCACCTGGTCTCTAAACCACACTTCAGGGAACAAGGCCCCTGGGGTAGTGGTTGGGGTAAGGTGCAGCGAGGCTCTGATCTTGGCTCTGTCAAGTTATGACAGTGTCAGTTTCTTATCTGTAAAGTAGGCACAAGAATATCTCTTCCACTGTAGATCTGTTGAATGAATGAATGAAATGAGACAGTGTATAGCACCTGGCTCACCAACAGTACCTGGTGAGTGGTTGTTGTTGCTGTAGGCAGAGCTGATCATCCCCTTGGGACCAGGATTGGAGCAGGAGGGCCAGCGTCCTGGGAACTAAGAAGTAACCCAAAGCCACCCATAGAGGGTGCTTTGCTTGTGCCTCACCACCCAGCAGATAGATATTCTTATCAGAGAGTTCCAGAACCACATTCTACTTGAGCAGTGCCCCCACTCTTCCAGTGAAAACCTGAGGCTGAGAAAAGTGAAGGTACGTGCCCAATGTCACAGAGTCAGCATGTGGTAGAGCCGGACCTCAAGCCCAGGTCAACTGTCTGTATTCAGTTCAGCTGACAGGGAAAAAATGCTTAGTTACTTCTACGCTAAGTGTTGGAGGGCTTCCTGACAAATCTTGGTGGTGTACGTACATCCAGCCCCACTTGGAGATAATCTACTGTCTCTTTGAAAATCGACCTGGGCTTCTTTTCTGGACCATCTGGGCCAGGCATCCTAGCAGCCACGCCTGGGAAATGACCCACCCAAATCTGGGTTTGATACCTATTGTTGTTGGTTGTTAGGAACCACAAAGCCTGCTCCTTTATCCAGGAAATAGAGGAGAGGCAATTATCCAGTGGTCTATACCAGGGGGGCAAAAGGCCTTGAGGGGAAAAAGCAGTCAAGGCTTCATGAAGGCACTGTCCAGACCTTTGAAGCTCTATGAACTTGTGTGCATGCACAGCAGGCTATACATAGCTGAGTGTGAAGAGGGGCAGGGTGTGAATAGGGATGTGCATGAGAGGACATATACATGTGTGCACACCCAGATGTCCAGGGCAAATGGTTCTGAAGAGGGCAACCTCTTCCATCTTGCTCTTCAACCTTGGCCAGTGACTTCCGATTTCTGAGCTTCACTTTCCTCCTCCATACCCAAACTTTTGGGAAGGATGCAGTGAGATGATGGATATGAAGGCATCTTGAAAAAGATGAAAATGTGGTAACTCCCTGCAAGAGGTGGTGATTATTTTTCTGACTCAGGCCAGAGCTGGAAGATAGAGGGAATGGCTGTGCTCGGAGCTCCTCCGTGGCTGGCTGCCTGGCTTGCACAGCTGTGCCTGAGGACACAGTAGCTGCTTCTGGATAGGGCAGGAGTGAGGAGTGGCAGGCTGCTCTTGTGAAAAAGGAAAAGGGAAGCGTTTGATTAAATGTTGTTTAATTAAGAAAGGAGGAAAAAGCAAGGGCCAAGCTCTTCATCTGAACCTGCCCCAATCCTTCAAGTGCTCCTTGAAGCCCGCCCTAACCCTCCCAGAGCCAGAGAGCTGGGAGAGGCTCCTTCCTCTGTCCAAGGGAACACCTCTGGGGACAGGGCACCCACTTCTCCCAGCACCACCAGCCATGCCTCCATTCCCTCCCCAGACACAGCTGCAGTACTTATTGTTTGAGACTCTTTCAGGGCACTTAGCACTGGATTTTTGCCTAGCCTTCTATTTTTTTTCTGCTTGATCCTCCCTAGAAAAGGGACTCACATGACCTCATTCCCAAGCGGCAGGCACCTAGCAGTTTCTCCAACATTAAGTCCCTGAGAGGCTGAGGTTCCAGAGAGGACAAGCTCTGACTACCTCCTAGTCACAGGTTCTGCCACACCTTCCCAGAGTCCCTTCCAGCAGCCCACACCCCATCCTTATTCTCCCAAGAGTATTTTTTGAAAATCTTTTATTGCTTAAAAGTCATAATTGAATCTTCAAAAAGCATAAAAGCCAAAACATGAATCCCACTTTGTAAACGTTTATTTTAAGAAACCAAGCGATGGAAATGGGAACCTGAGAAGAGGGGCCAGAAGGAGTCCCAGCAGCAATGGCATCTCACTGGGTGGTAGGCTTCTTTTGTTCATCGATGGCAGCTACGGAGTCCATGCATTTGGTCTTGAAGTTATGCCATATGGGCAGCAGGGCCTCCTGGAGGTCCTCCAGCACAGGCGTGGCCTTCTCATGGAGCTCTTGCAGCTGCTTGCTGGCCTTGTTGTACAACTCAGACAGGTCAGCACTGTGCTCCCCGAACTCCTCCAGCTTGGTGGTGAAGTGCTGGTGCAGCTGGTCGTGGAAGGGCTCCAGCTTCCCTCGCAGGTCCTGGCTGAAATTGCTCAGCTTTGTCTGCAGCTCTTGCAGCTTCTGGCGTGTGCCCTCGTGCAACTCCTGGGCCACTGGCATCACCTTCTCATGGTAGAGCTCCATGTCCTGCTGCCACTTCTCGAAGTCCTCCAGGTGGGGCTTCACCATCTGCTTCACATCCTCCAGTTTCTTGTTCATCTTCTGTGCCAGCTCAGCTGTAGCCTTTTCCAGTTTATCCCAGAGATCCTGGGCAACCGGGGTGACCTTTTTACCCAGCTCGGTGGCCAAGGAGCCCATGCTGTTCCAGCGGTTCAGGAGTTGCAGGCTGGAGGAGGGGAGAGAGGCCTCAAGAAGGAACCTCCCAAGCACCCAAGACACTCCCGGAGCTGCAGGCCCAGTGCCCCAGTTTATCTGTGGTGAGAGCTGGGCAACATCTGTCCCTGAATGTATAGTAGCTGGGGGTCAGACCTGGGCTTGGCTTTTCCCATGCAGTGTCTCACCCAACTCATTTGTGCCCACCCTCCACATTCTGTAAACTGAAGAGCTAGTGGGAGACAGAGCGGGGTTGGTGTTCAGTCTTGGTGGCCTCCAAAGCTGAGCCATTCAAGGACCTCATATCTATACTTCAGACCATTCTCTTTTCTGAAGATAGCCATCCCTATGGCTGGGCAGTTGCAGAACTGCAAGCTGCTTGTTGCACTTGCAGACAGAATGTGATGCTGTGATTACTAACTGGGCAGCACTGGTCTGTCCCTTGCTAGGAGGCTGTGACCCTGCTTGGGGATCCCATTCCTGTTTCTCCATCCAGCTATGGATCCCATGAAATAGCATGTAGGGATTCGGCCAGTCTGGCTACATCTTCCCACAGGCCTGGCATCTGCCCCTCAGGACCAGCAGCCCCTGCCCCATCCCAGACCCCGGGGCTGGGTCCTTACTTTAAGTGTTTTCCCAAGGCGGAGGCTTCAAACTGGGCCAAATAGTCTCTGCTACTGTTTTTGACTGAGTCTGCTAAATTCTTCACTTGGTCCCATTGTGACTGGGGGTCATCTTGTTGCCAGAAATGCTGAGCCTGGGTCCCTGGGGTAGGAGAGGAGACTTGTTCAGTTCAGGCCAGCTCCAGGCCAGGCTTGGGGGCAGGAGAGAGGGGTCTAGTGAGAAATTCGGGTCCCTGTGTCCTGAAGGGCACATTACGGGGGTTTAGGGAGAAGAGCCCTCCTGATGGGTGGCTTTCTAGGTTGGGGGGCACTTACCTGTAAGGAAGAACACAGCCAAGGTCAACACCACCACTTTCATCCTGGGTGACCTGAAGGAGAAGAGGGGCCTGGCTGTGGGTGGGCCTGTGGTGTAGGGGAGCTCTGTGTTCCCCCACTTATTCCAGGCAGGAGAGGAGAAGGAGAGTCACAAGTGGGAGAAGGCCTCAGGTATCCAGAGCCCCAGCATGGAGCAGAGCCTGAGCCTCAGGGCTGAGGAAGCCAGAGGAACCTGGAGCAGGGAGCTGTACTTACCTGGAGCAAGAGCTTCAACAGTCTCTGAGCAGCAGCTTTCTCTGGGCCTATTTATGTCTCCAGCAGGGGCTGGAGAGAAGGGCTGGGATGGGAGGCTGATAAGCTCAGCCCAGGCCTTGCAACTGCTCACTGGTCCCAGGGGAGATGTGGAACTTAGAGTTCAAGGATCAGCTCTGTCCCTGGGGCTAGGCAAATAGAGTAGGCAAACAGAGAGCTGGGGGCTGGGGCTGCAGGACCAGGGATCAAGGGTTCAGGAGGGGGTGGGAGCTGGTGGTTGCAGGTTGCAGGTCCCCAGGGGTGCGGTCAGCTGTGTCCACCCCCTTCTCATTGGTGGGATATGTGTTCCTCACCACTGTCCATTCTGCCAGGACAGCAGGGGAGAGGAGGGAGAAGAAAATGCCCAGGCTGGTCAGGAACAGCTGGCACTCTCCTGAAGTTCAGGGAGATGATTTCACACCCATCCCTGCCCCTCCCTCAAAGGGCGCTAGGGACAGCCCTCCTACTCTCACTCTCAGCCCAGCAGGCTTGGCACACCTCTCTCCAGGCCCTTGCAGACCTCCCAAATCCCTGAATGAAGGGAACTGGCAGTGCTAGGGAGCTGCCTGGGGAGAGAGTGGAAAGTGTTCAGTGAATCTGAACTTTGAGATTTCAGAGACCTCTAATATTTCCAAGCACATTCTAGAGACCAAGAATAGAGCTGCCAACTTTTAATTTTGTCACATAAAAATCCTACCTACTGCCCACCCCCAAACCCTACTGTCTACCATGACCAGCACTTGAAAAAAGAAAAGATTTTTTAACACAAAATAAAGTATAATCTCAGAATAAAGGAAAGTCACTTAAATCGAAAACATAAATCTTTGCATGGTTCATACTTATGTGTGATCACATACAGGTGAGAACGGTGGCCGGCCCTCCGGGATCACTGGTGAGGGGAAAGACCTCTGGCCCAGGTAGCAGGAGAACTGCTTTCTCATTTCATTTTGCCTCTCCTGGAGGAGAATGCTGAACCAGTTACATAATCTGCCTGAGCCTTGGTCCCCTACCAGTAAAACGGAGGCAAGAATGGTCGGGTTTATTGCAGACCTGCATGAATCCTGAAACTGTAAAGTGCTTGCAGTACCATTTTGGAAGGTTTCTCTTGGAAGGCCCAGGACCTCCAACACCAGGTCACTGACAGGACCTGTGTCGTAGAACCTCTGAATGTCCAACCCGAAAGGAACATTGAGATCAACTACTCCAGCCTCCTTCCACCCCCCTATAGACAAGGGAACTGAAGACAGTGAAAGAAATTTGCCCAGTGTCTCTGGCCTCCCAGGGAGTTGGAGGAAGGAGTAGACTTAGAACCCAGGTCTCCAGACTTAGAACTCCAGGCAGAAATGTGCCCTGCACCATTCGTCCAAGAAACTCCCTCATAGTCGAAATAACCAGCCTGCGCTGCTGTCTGCCAGATCCTGGAGTAGGGGTGGCGGGGGAAGGGGGTCTGGGCCTTTCCCCCTGTGGCCCATCTCATGCCTTTCACCTCAGAGTGGAAAGCTTTGGAGCTGGGCAATCTTAGGTTTGAATCTCAGCTATGCCACTTATCTGTGTGACCCTGAGCAAATTACAGAAATCTTCCCACAGATCAGTTTCTTGGACTAAGGCAGAATAATGCCCCCTGCCCCAAAGATGTCCATACCCTGCTCTTTGAAATCCATAACTGTTATGACAAAAGAAACTTGGTGCAGATGTAATTCTAAGGACTGGGAGGATGGTGTGGGTATCCTGGATAATCCAGGTGGGCCGCATGTCATCCCAAGCATCCTTAAATATACAGGAGTGAGGCAGGAGAGGTGGAGTCGGAGGAGGAGATGAGAGGATGGAAGCAGAGGTCAGAGTGTGACATGCTGTGCCTGCTGGGAAGGTGCATGAACCAAGGAATGTGGGCAGCCTCCAGAAGCTGGAAGGGGCAAAGAAACAGATGTTTCCCTAGAGCATTCTGAAAAAATACACTTCTGCTGGCACCATGATTTTAGCCTCATGTGACCTTCATTGGACTTTTGACCTGCAGAAATGTACTGTAAGATGATAAATTTGTGTTGTTTTAAGCACTAAATTTGAACATGTGAGGCAAAATTGAAAGGTACCTGGCACATAGTGAACTGTAACTATTCTGTGTCCCAGCATCCCAATTTCTGGCATCTTGTCCCCTTGCTCCCACTGATCACCCTTGCACCATCAGACCAGAGAGAGCTAAGGCCTTGGCTTCGGGCAACAGAAGTGGGGGGAAGGCAGGGAATCTCATTTTCTCTGCATGGTCCTGACCTGCAGATGCTGAGATGTGGGGTCTCTGTTCCAGGATTGACCCAGCCCCAGAGGCCTGTGGGAGCACAGCCTCAGGGACCATTCTCCTGGACTGCCAGCTGGCCAGCCCAGCTTTCTGTTTGTTTGGGGAGGAGAGAGGGCAGAGCCTTGCTGGGTCAGCCCACAGGCAAGTGTCTCAGGCCAAGAGAGGTTACGTTCTTTCTAGGGGGAGAGCTAGGCCCAGTCAGCACATGGGAGCTCTCAGAATCTTACAGGTTGGGTTCCAAGCTACTTGTCACTGTTTCACCCTCCTCTCTGGTTTATTACTGAAATGATTATTATGGCTAAACCCAGTATCTGACATTTGCATCATTCTTTAGTGGCCAAAACACTTTCATGATTAACTTAGTATGTTCTTGTTAGTTTGTCTGTGAGAAGACTGCAGCTCAGAGCTGCCCAGAGCTGCCCTGCCTCCTTCAGCTGTTAGCATTTGGTGTTGGCGAGATTGGGAATCAGGAGGTTGGCTTCTAGCCATTTGGTGGCTGCCTGTTGGTCAGAGGAAGCAGCAGGGTCCCAGATCCGCACAACCCTGGTGCTCTGCTCAGAAACTCTCACTTCTGGCCCAGGGATTTTAAGGCCCTGGGTTGGAGAGTGCTGTTTGACAGCATCTTCCTGAGCAGGGAGATTCTTTTTACTGAACTTATTTACTAGCATGTCTACTCCATTTCACCATAAAGACATTGGCTTAAACTAGCCCAAGCCCCTTGTCGCTAGTACTTTGGAGAGGAAGGAATCTTTCTGGATAGAGGCCAATGGGAAACACCATCACCAACAAAGTGGGTCCATCTCAGATCCAGACTTGGGAGCCAGTCATTGTTAGAGGCATCGAATGGAATAAAGTAGCTGTTTAGTGGGTGCAGGGCCCACCAATGTAGGCCCTTTGTACTACTGTCCTTTTCTTCTGATCTTGGGAGTCTCCAAAGTGACTTTCTGAAGTGGGTCACCAAGAGGCTGGCCCTGGATCCCCTGGTGCATGTGTGAGTTCTGCTAGCTGGCTATAGGAGTGTGTTTTGCTCAGTTCACAATTTATGACCCAGTGTCATACTGGTCAGTCTACACTGGGAGGACTCTGGCCCCTCCTAGGCCTGGCACATAACAGACACTCAACCAATATTTGTTCGTTGAACTACACTGGCACACTAACGGAAGGTCACCAGGATGATAAAGGGTCATTTGAAGGAACAGGCCTTGAGACTCAAAAAACCTTTGAGCATTTAGCCCTGTATCATAGACTCTGCCCAGAACATTTAATCTTAAAACCTTTCGTTGGTCAGGATGAGGAAGGAACGTTTGTACTGAACAGGGGAGCAAGGAACACCCCTGCCAAATATTTCCTATTGGACAATTCTGTTGCAGCTTTTGGTGACAGAGCCCCAGTGTAGACCCTATGGGCAGGCCACTGTACCCAACCACAGGCAAGCTTCTCTTGGGTCTTGCTGCTTAGCAGGTTAAGAGAATGACAGAATTGGTCTTTGACCAGCATGAGTGGAGGTCTGGCTCCTTGGGAGGTGCACTGGCCTTCCCAATTCTTGATCTTTGCAGTTGGAGTGGGGCCCAGACTCTGACAAAGAAAGATCAGTAAGGCTTTGTCAGCATGGCTTCTGTTTTCCAGAACTCAGATATTTGGGTCCACATCCAGGAAGCAACACCCCAGTCCCTCTGTATCCATTCCAAAGTCCCCCTGGTTGACTTCAGGAGGGAGTGGCGCCTATTTCAAAAGGTTGCGACAAGTTATTGAAAGGCATCTAGGGTGAATCACTGGCCTCAGAGACACTCACCCAGCTTTCCAAGGGAGTGTGTATAGACTCAGGTGATGGCTAGAAGACCCTCCTCGAGAAGGCTCCTTTCTGTCCTAAACAGTCCCACTGCGACTTTCTAGTCCACTAGAGATTTGAAAGCTTTCAAGTTTTAAAAAATATATATATTTTATTGATTATGCCATTAAAGTTGTCCCATTCCCCCCTTTATTCCCCTCCATCCTGCATACCCCTCCCCCACCATTCCCCCCTTTAGTTTGTCCATGTCACAAGTTCTTTAGATTCTATATTTCCCATACTATTCTTGCCCTCCCCCCGTCTATTTTCTACCTACCATCTATGCTACTTATTCTCTGCGCCCCCTCCCCTCTTCTTCTCCCACTCCCCTGTTGCTAATCCTCCATGTGATCTCCATTTCTACGGTTCCGTTCCTGATCTGTCCTCTTAGTTTGCTTTTGTTTTAGGTGTGGTTCTTAATAACTGTGAGTTTGCTATCCTTTCACTGTTCATATTTTTATCTTTTTTTCTTAGATAAGTCCCTTTAATATTTCATATAGTAAGGGCTTGGTGATGATGAACTCCTTGAATTTGATCTTATCTGAGAAGCACTTTATCTGCCCTTCCATTCTAAATGAAAGCTTTGCTGGATAGAGCAATCTTGGATGTAGGTCTTTGGATTTCATGACTTGGAATACCTCTTTCTAGCCCCTTCTTGCCTGTAGGGTCTCTTTTGAGAAATCAGCTGACAGTCTGATGGGAACTCCTTTGTAGGTGACTGTCCCCTTATCTCTTGCTGCTTCTAGAATTCTCTCCTTCATTTTAATGTTGGCTAGTGTAATTATGATGTGCCTTGGTGGGTTCCTCCTTGGGTCCATCTTCTTTGGGACTCTCTGAACTTCCTGGACTTCCTGGAAGTTTATTTCCTTTGCCAGATTGGGGAAGTTCTCCTTTATTATTTGTTCAAGTAAGTGTTCCACTTGTGGCTGTTCCTCTTCTCCTTCAGGTACCCCTATAATTTGGATGTTGGAACATTTAAAGATGTCCTGGAGATTCCTAAGCCTCTCGTTTCTTGAATTCTTGTTTCTTCATTCTTTTCTTTGGTCATTTTTTTTTCCTTCGGGTCCACTCCTTTGAGTTCCAGTTTCCTTTCCATCACTATTGGTTTCCTGTGAATTTTGCATTTCAATTAGTTTAGCCTTCATTTGTTCCTCTAATTTGTGACTAAAATCAACCAGTTCTGTGAGCATCCTGATCACCAGTGTTTTGAACTGTGCATCTGATAGGCTGGCTTATCTCTTGGTCACTTAAAGTATTAGCTCTGGGGCTTTGAGCTCTTTTTCTGTTTAAGCCATAATGTTTTGGTCAGGTCGAACCTGTTAGGTATGAGGGGTGAAGCCTTAGGTGTTCACCAGAGCGGGGTGACCCAGTTGCTGGGTTGTAATGCTATATGTGGGGGAGGGGTCAGAGAAGGCCAATGGCGTTTGTTCTGCTCTCTTGGATTTCAGTCCCCTCTGCTACTTCCTGCAAGCAAACCAGGCCCTCTTGGTGCCAGCTTCCGGGTGTGTGGGCCTGTGTACCCTCCAAGACCCTGTGGGTCTCTTCAACAAATTCTCCATGAGCCTGGGAGCTTCTCCCAGCACCTTGGCCCCGAAATTTTCTCCAATTGGTGCTTTCAGGCTTTAATTCCCGGTGCTGGGGCCCTAGCCTGTGCGGTCTGTCTCACTGCTCGCTCTTTTGCCTGTTTTATCTGTGCGTGAATGTGTGACCGTGGTCAGCCAGCCACCTTGCACCCCCACTGGGTCTGCCCACTGCCACCTCACACCTGGGATCTGCTAACTGCCACCTGCGCTCCTGGGTCATTCAGGCCACTTTTGCCTGCCCGACTCCGCTCTACCAGCCGCTGACTCCACCCCTCCTACCTGTCTGGCTGAATGGTTTGTTGTCAGTTCAATTTTCTGTGTTTTGGTTGCGTTTTTGTTACTAAAATTTTGTTGTCTTTAAACTTGGTGGTGCAAGGAGGCACAGTGTTTCCACCTATGCCTCCATCTTGGCCAGAAGTCTTGAAAGCTTTTAAGTTCTTTTCTCTCACTCTTCTTTCTACAAACTCGGTCAGTATTTTCCACTTCAGTAACTTTTCTTCATGGACCTTCAGTCAGCTATCTCTTGGCCATGCATGGGACATTGCTGGAAATGCTGTCCTGTCCTTGGGAGTCTAGGTGTGGAAAAAGGGGGAAACTATAGGAAAAGTCCCCTTGTCCTAACACTGGGCTGATTGGAGGCACCTTATGAAGACCCAGCCTCCAAGCCCCAGTATTTGGCCCTCTTGCTATTCCTTCTTGAGTATCCTCTAAAGGAATCCATTTACCACCTGAATCAGCAAATTCAAACACTCCCCTCTGAGGTGTCCAAGGCCAAGCTGGATGCAGGGGACCACAGTGTGGAACTTTCTTTAGAAGTTCAGGCTTCTAGAGAATGCTAATTTTACAAGGTGGAGTGAATGCATTGCTCAATGCTCCACCCTATGCTCGGTAGACTTTTTCTGCTTCCACCTACCTGGATGCTTCTCCCAACTAGACTCTGAACCACAAGATAAATAATGTATCAACATAAGTTGACAATCAGTTCTTTATTTTCACAATCCCCTACTGTCCAACTAAGTTGTAAGTGCCCACAAAAAAGGGGCTAAAGGTCTTACTGAAACTTGGGTCTGGATATTTTTAAAAATCCTTTTTAAGTTCAACATAAATGAGAAAGAAAAAAAAACTTCTGACATTTTCAAAGAACAGATATAGGAAAGTGTATTAATATACATTCAACATATACTGCGCACATTGGTTACTATAATACAAAGCAATGATTTTTAAAGAGTGTAGTTCACAAGATGGCACGGTTAACGGGCTCGCTGGCCTCCAATGCGTGGTCAACTGGAGGGTGGCAGTCTGCTCTCCCATCAGTTCAGTTCCATGTAAACAGAACAGAGAAGTCAAGCAGAAGCTGTTCAGCCTTTCACGGTAGCCTCCTTTTGCTGAGTAGCTGGTGGCCCCACCAAGTGAAGGGGTGACTGGGAGCCATGAAAACATGGGACATATCCTGAGAAAGGCTGTGCACTACAGAAATCCATAGACGGCTCCTGGGTCCAGGGGCGGAGCTGCTGATATTAGAAGAACAAGCTACATGGGGATCCTATCAGCAACATCAGGATGGCCATGCTGGGCACCCACTTTCTTCTGTGCAAATTCAGAATGAAAGACTAGAGGTGGACTGGGGACCATTTACTCTCTCAGAAAAAAAGGGTCAGGAGTCAGAATCATTAATATTTCTTTCTTGTTTTGAAGATCAAAGAAGACAACCTAGATCCTTTGTCAGTCCCCAGCCAGCATAAAAGACTTTGGTTTCTAACAGTGAAGATAAAGAAAGACAATGACACAAATAGCTACCGCATATATACTGCTTCAAATGGGGATGTCTGTCACCGGCATGAGTAAGAACTCTTCACAATTACAATGTGTAAATAAAATACTTTGAACAAAAGGTGCAAGTCACAATTCAAATAGAACAGAATCTGGTTAAATGTTTCTCTATTAAACAAAAATTCCTTTTGTTTTTATTAATAACAACAATAATATCATCATTTACCAAAACAATTCCTACATGATCAAGAATTAAAAGGGAACAAGGATGCCCAGGGAAGAGGAAGTTAAGAAAGAGGCAGGGCCCAAGACAGCCTCCTGGTCTTCTTGCCTGTGATAAACAGGCTGAAAGAAAAAAAGTGTGTGTGTCTGTCTGTGTGTATGTGTGTATATATACATATGGAATACAGAGAAACAATTCTTTTTCTAGCACGATGTAAAATGAGAGTGTAAGATACAAAAGCATAGATACCACTGTAGGGTGCAGTCTGTTGAGTAGAACCAGCAGGATGGTAAGGGCAACTGTCTTTTCAGGTTATAAGAGGGGAACTGAGTTATACACCAAAGAAAAAGCTCACACTGAGGCATTCTAACTGGCATTCCATCAATACCAGGTCACTCTCAGCCTCCATGCTAACATTCTAATATGATCTTGGCTGGACCAGACATGTTTTTCAGTATATCCCAGCAGTAAAGATCTCTCCGGGTTCCAGGCTGGGGGTTTCTCTTTTTGCTCTCCAAGTGCCAAATGCCATCACTACTTCCTCTCTCCTGTTCCCCAGCCACTAAGATTTCAGAAGGTGTTATCCTTTAGTTTTTGCTCCTGTGGAAGTGCCATGCAGAGCACTGAGGGGTGCTCTGAGCACACAGGCTAGCAGAGGAGTGGCTCTGGGTCCCCTGATCTCCATACTCTAACTGCTTTGCTCTTCTGTCTTAAAAAAAAAAAAAAAAAAAAAGAAAAAGAAAATCACCTCCAAAAGAAAACATACCAAAAAACCAAAACCAAACCAAAACCAATAGCTGAAATACATCAAGTACACTTTCACAAAAGGTGGCGAACGTGGATTTCCTGTTTATTTCCTTGGTGACTTGGTCATAGAAGCAAACATGGCAACCCCCCCCTCAAAACTGTGAAAAACAGCACACTGATAAACTAAATGTGAGGAAAGGAGCCACAACATTATGGGTGGAGAGAAACACAATGGCAATTTGGTGCAATGCTGCTAGATACTGTTGGTTTAAAGTCCATTATTTTATTCCCCAGCTGTACACAAACCTGCAACAGAGCAGACACAGAGGGGGATTAGTGTGAAAAGAGAAAGCCTCAAATATTCAATTGATAACTTTTAAAAAATTCAACTGTGTAGTGTAAGTATGATTTTTTTCTTTTTGTAATGCAAGTACGTGACTTAAGCTTTGACTATCCAGGCATTCAATTCAAAAAGAAAAACTACCTTGAATAAACACACTGGCCAGCCCAGAGGCTTAGATAAAGAGCCCCCTCCCTCCACTGGAGCCTCTTTGGTTTTGGAGATCATGGTTGATTTCAGTAACTGACCATTTGGGCTCATAGTTTGTTTTCATTTCCCATGCTTTAAATTCCTGCTCTCATATGTTTTAAATCCACCAATGAAGAGTGAGCCTGCAAAACCCCAGGGTCCCTCCCTGACCTCCAGTAAAAGCGAAGGATCAGGCCTATTCCCCAAGCATCCCCCAACCCCCTCAAGATCCTGCTATACGGCTCCAGGTGTGCCATGTAAATTATGTAATTTTCAGGTCTTATAAGTAATAAATCTGCATCTTTTCTGAGTTTCCCCATGATTAGTGCTGGAGGGCATCTTGCAGCCACAGTAAGAAGCACAAGACACGTCCAGCCACAATGCTGGTTTTCAGTAGGCTGCACCCAATAAAAACCAGACTGGTTCACATTACCTCAGGCTTTTAAAAAATACTGATTATGCTATGATAGTTGTCCCATTTTTTTCTCCTCTTTATTCCCCTCTTCCCTGCACCCCCCCACCCCTGTCCCACCAGTATCCCCTACCTTCCTTAGTTCATGTCCATGGGTTGTACATATGTTCTTTGGCTTCTCTGTTTCCTGTAGTATAACCTCCCCCCGTCTATTTTGTACCTACCATTTATGCTTCTTATTCCTTGTACCTTTTCCTACATTCTCCCCCTCCCCCTCCCCACTGATAACTGCCTGCCTCCATTTTTGTGATTTTGTTCCTATTCTAGTTATTTGCTTAGTTCCTTTTTTGTTGTTTTTCTTATTTTCAGGTTCAGTTGTTGATAGTTGTGAGTGTGTTGTCATTTTATTTTTCATAGTTTTGATCATCTTCTTCTTATACAAGTCCCTTTAACATTTCATATAATAAGGGCTTGGTGATGATGAATTCCTTTAACTTGACCTTATCTGGGAAGCACTTTATCTGACCTTTCATTCTAAATGTAGGTTCTTGCCTTTCATGACTTTGAATACTTCTTTCCATTTCCTTCTTGCCTGCAAGGTTTCTTTTGAGAAATAGCTGACAGTCTGATGGGAAGTCCTTTGTAGGCAACTGTCTTTTATCTTGCTGCTTCTAGGATTCTCTCCTTATTTTTAATCTTGAGTAAGGTAATTATGATGTGTCTTCGTGTGTGCCTCCTTGGGAAATTCTATGGGACTCTCTGAGCTTCCTGGACTTCCTGGAAGTCTATTTCCTTTGCCAGATTGAGGAAGTTCTCCATTATTTTTTCAAATAAGTTTTCAATTTCTTGCTGTTTCTCTTCTCCTTCTGGCTCTCGTGTAATTCGAATGTTGGGTACATCTGAAGTTGTCCCAGAGGTTCCTAAGCCTCTCCTCATTTTTTTTTTTTTTAATTCTTGTTTCTTCATTCTGTTCCAGTTGAATGTTTTTTTTCTTCCTTCTGGTCCAAATGGTTGATATGAGTCCTGGTGTCTTTTTCTTCAGTGTTGGTTTCCTGTATATTTTTCTTTATTTCGCTTTGCACAACCCTCACTTCTTCCTCTATTTTGTGACCATACTCAACCATTTCTGTGAGCATTCTGATTACAAGTGTTTTGAATTTTGCATTTGATAGTTGGCTATCTCTTCATCTGTTAGTTGTATTTTTTCTGGAGCTTTGATCTGTTCTTTCATTTGGGCCATAATTTTTTGTCTTGATGTACCTGTTATGTCATAAGAGGCAGAGCCTTAGATATTTGCCAGGGCAGGACAAACCACATGGCAGCATTGTGATGCTGTATGTAGAGAAGGGGGTACTAGATGGAACAATGCCACTTGCTTAGCTCTCCGCCGACTTTCAGTTACTTCCTCCGTTACCCACAAGCAAACTGGGCCCTCCTGCTGCTGATTCCCAGGTGGATGGGCGGGCTTATGGACATTTTAGGACCCCTTGGGTCTCTCTGATAAACTCTCCTGTGAGATTGGAAGTTTGTCCCACTGCTGCAATTCCCACAGGACTTAGAGCCAGAGGTTTTGAGGCTTTATTTCCCTGCACTGGAACCCGGGGTTGTGTGGTCTGCCAGCCGCCGCCTCACATGCCCTGTCATCCTGTCACCACCTTGCCACAAGTCCTCTCTGGCCAGCTGACAATCTCCGCCCCTCCTACTGGTCTGGATGAATGTTTCTTCTTTAACTCCTTGGTTCCACACAGTTTGATTTTCTGGCAGTTCTGGTTATTTTTTGTTTTTAACATTTCATATAATAAGGGCTTGGTGATGATGAACTCCTTTAACTTGACCTTACCTGGGAAGCATTTTATCTGCCCTTCCATTCTAAATGTAGGTTCTTGCCTTTCATGGCTCTGAATACTTCTTTTCATTTTCTTCCTGCCTGCAAGGTTTCTTTGGAGAAATCAGCTGACAGTCTTATGGGAAGCTGTTGTTGTCCTTTTGTTTGTGTGAGGAGGCAAAGTATATCTACCTATGCCTTCATCTTGGCGAGAAGTCTCTCTCTGGTTCACTTACCTCAGGTTTTTAAAGAGACCTGCCACACTGAGCCACACTGAGGCTCTAACATGAATTTTCCAGATGGCTTAACTTCCATCAAATCTTTTCTGTCAGAGTTTTCAAAGAACCAATACTACCTACTCTGTTCCTTTAGGCATTACTACAACCAGGCCAATTTACCTCTTTTCTACCACTGGTCTCTGATCACCTATTGCCTCTGTCTAGAATATTCCGTCACTTGCAGCATAGGCTGAACTATTATGGCTGGAAATGTTTTCTTACTGGGCTTCATCTTTCAGAACTGAGTTTAAAGACAACCTCCTTTCCCTATTACCCTGGCCAGAGATGCCCCATCCTCCAAAGTGACAGCTCACTCATTGTCTCTGTGAAGGATGTTACAGGACTTGTAATTACAACCAATGGACTATGGACAGCATATCTTCTGTCTGTACCTACCCACATACCCAAACAACTGGCAGTGCTTAATGACAGACCAAGAGGGAAAGAGCAGGGGAGTTCACATGGAAGGACTCTCCTGACAAGATGAGGAGCTGGCACAGGGCCAAAGGGCTGCTTTGGCCCTGGCCCAGGTAATACTTACTCTTGGTTTCTGTTACACTCCTGCCTGCTCCATGCTGAAGGAGACCTCAGGGTGCTTATAGCTGAGCAGTATGTCTGTTATACATGTTGATGGGTAGCAGGAGGAGTTCAAATGCTGGCTACCATCAGTCAGGTCTAGGTGCTCATGATCTCCTAGACTCTCCCTGCATTCTGAAGACCAGAGAGAACACGTGAGATTTGCTAGGAGCAGGAAGTTGGGGGTAGGTGGACAATAGGGAGAGAGAGGAGGAAGAGAAGTCTTGAGTACCCATACCCTGATTCCTAGCTTGAATCCTAGCTCACAGCAGACTATCACTGTGTTTAGTGACTGTAGGCTGAAAGCCAGGATTCTTCTAAGTGTTCCATTTCCCTTCATAACTGTGTCTCCCACCACTGAGCTCCATCAACAACTGTAGTGTGGGAGAAGACAGAATACTGCTCCTTCAGGAACACTTCCTTCTTTAAGGGAGAAGACACAATTTACTGCTAGTAGACAATGACTACTGGGAATTCTATTTTAAATAGAACTCCAAGCATTTTAAACTCATTAGGGCAACTGACACAACACAATCTAGGATACAAGATCTATTACTTCTGCCACTTTACAGAGCAGGATGCTGGGGCTCAAAAAGGCTGAGTGTCTTGCCCACGTAGCCTATAAAGGGCAGTCAGGGTATCCTGCAGACCTGTCCATTCCAAGGCCTGTGCTTTATAGCTATTATGATACCTTCACTTAACTGGTTCTAAGGGGAGGCAGACATTCTATTTGGACACAGTGCCCTCTAATCACAACCAGAAAAGCAGCTATTAAAGGAGTATCTTAACAAAGCCTTATAAGGCTAACAAAAATGTGGTTATCTCTGCACTCACCCAGAAGGCATGTGCCTTTATTTATACATGCATGCTCAGTGAAAGAGAAGTGGGAAAGAATTCTGTGCCCAGAACACTTTGGGACACTGTGGCATCCCATGAACTCTTTCTACTGAAGAAGAGAGCAGTCACTGGTGAAGATGGAAGGGGGGAGTTCTAGGAACTTCTCTGGGGCACTCCATGTGTAAGTCTCCTTACCCTCATTTTCCCCATCCTGAAACTGCTGGCTCCCCATAAGTGAGGACTGACTAAGGACAGCATCTGACATCCGGGCAGAACTAAGTGCTTTCCCAGCCACGAGACTCATTCCTGGCAAGTTATCCAGCTGCACCTGCAGAAAGTTATTAGGACAGTAAGTAAAGATAAATATGCAACATGTAGGTAACCGTTCAGAGATAGCTGTTCCCTCTAAAAGAGCTCAGGCGCCACTCCCAAGCAGTACTCCCAGATACCCCTTCTCTGCACAGTGCCATCCAAAGGGGGCTCTAACAGGGACAGTGTGGGAAACTGCTGCAGTTTCTGCCCTTAGAGCGGGTGAGGGCATGGTGAATCTCAGCTGGTGGGCAGATGCCACTGACACCTACACGGCCTTCCAAACCAGGTTTCTGACCTATTCCCATCACCATGAGGAGTCTAACAGAACTTTCTGCAAGGACGGAAATGTCCTACTATGCTGTCTAATACAGAGTCACAAGCCACAAGAGGTTACTGAGCACTTGAAATGTGACTGAAGTGACTGAGGAACTAAATCTTTAACTTAATTATATTTAAATTTGAATAGCTAATTGTGGCTAGTTGCTACTGCATTAATCAGTGCTACTCTAGGAGTTTGCCCTAGGAAAACGAGCCCGGCAGAACAAGGTTAGCTCTCTTTATCTGAGTAAGCTCAATGTACCTGCCAGAAAACCAACCAAGAGCCTAAGAATTCATATGCTGGGGCTTGAGTTTTAGATTGTTTGGGGAGAAGTTGAATAACTAAGGCTAGAGGGGACAGATGGCAACTACCCTTCATTCCTCAGTCTAAAATTGGAGAATAGATTCCACTGAGATTCTACTAGAGTTAAGGGCTGGTCTATTCAGGTGATTCAAAGATATGCTTCCTTAGTTCACAGAGGTGTTGGATTCTGGTTGAGAAGACTGGAGAAATACATGCTACCCAACATTACTAAGTCTAGTTTCCAGGGTTGGATTGGTACAATTCCACTTCTGAGAAGTAGGAGGGGCCAACATACATAAGCATCATCACTGTTCTGGATTGTATGGTGTCTCTGGAGGGTCCGAGGCCTGTGGTGCTCACTGACTGAGGGGCGTGCTGAGTACCCAAGTCCATTATGATCTGGCAGCTCCATTGCTTGTCCTGGAGAACTTCTGTCCATGCAGTTCCCTATGACAGATTCTGAGGAGACAGCAGGAACAGAGTTGGTCAGCAGGCCTGAAGTTTCTCTCAACATTGTCAGTACCTATTAAAGGAATGTTTTGCAAAAGACAATGAAGCCCTGGCTGGTGTAGCTCAGTGGATTGAGCACGGGCCTACGAACCAAAAGATCGCGGTTCGATTTCCCATCAGGCACATGCCTGGGTTGCAGGCCAGTGTCCGGGGATCAGTTCCCAGCAGAGGATGTACCAGAAGCAACCATACATTGAAAAAAAACAAACAGTGAGACACAGATGAGTGCACTACCTACTAATCCTCAGCTGGCTGGTGATGGTGCTTGCGGGAGTCTGGACCAGCCTTCTAGCCTTCTAACCCTAAGTCCTAGAGCAAACATGAGCCTCTTTGTGGAGGAACCATACCCTTAGGAGAAAAAGCCCATATATTGGTGGTTGATCACATGGAACATTTTCTTTTTTCTTCATCTCTCTGTTGACTTGACAGTGCTGTACTCTCAAAACCAGATGCATGAAGAATCATTCCTGGAGCTTTCAGGAACCTCTAGCCTGGGAGGATGGCCCCCATCTCTCTCCTTTCTTGACTTCCCCCTCAGTGTACCACCCCAGTCTTCTCTGTTTCTCAAACTGCTGTTCCCAATTCTGTCCATAGCTCCTCCACTCTTTACATTTCTATCCTTGACCTTCCCTCTTTCCCCATGCTTACTTTGGCAATATCATCTATTTTCATAACTTCAACTATATTGCCTCTATGTAAAGAAATACAGAAATGCTCTTTTAAACTCCAGGTCCACAACTCCAACTATTTATTAGATATATTTTTCTGGATATTTAATATGTCTAATTCCAAACTCATCAATTTCCCCCACAACCAGCTCCTCTCTCAGAAATCCTTGTTTCTTATTGCCTATTTTCTGAATCTGCGTGTGAGCTCATAGGGTACTTTACTCCTGGTTCCACATCAACTTAAGTGTAAAGAATCTACCTCTGCAATATCAGTCACTCCAGTCCCTTTCTTTCCAATCTCATGGCTTCCATGGAAGCCCTATTGCCTCCTGCCTGGATTACTGCAACAGCCTCTTAACTATGCACCTACCACTACCCTACAAAGATTAATCTTTCTACTGGGTAGCCCAAACACCTCATTTTCCACAATACTTTCCCAGCCTATCTTCCAATGAAGATTACTCACTGCTCTCCCCTACATCCTAAACTCTGGTCAAATGGGACCACTTAAATCTCCCCTACCCATTCACAATTCTATGTAAATATTTGCTCCTGCTGTTCCCTCTCCCTAGAAATGCTCATTGGCAAACATTGGACCTATCTCCTAATGAACTGTAGTTTTCAATAGGAAACATAGCCCTAATGCCAGTAGTTATTTGAATAATCAAAGGAAAACATACTAAGTGCTGGGTAAAGGGTTTCGGGTCTCTATACTGAAATGGTCTCATACAACAATCAAGGTTAGGCCTGGGCTTAAGGGCTGAGGTAGAATGGGAAGGGAGGGAAGCTGACTGACATACACACTGATCGTAATGTAAAACATTCTGGAGAAAAATGAGAGGAGGGGGAACTTCCCAACTACAAAAGATGAAAGCAAGTGAGAAATCTTTTGAAAGTTCTGTGAATGAAAAGGTCAAAGGAACAGCCAGAAGTCAACTGTTCTGCTACTGAAAGCTAAAAGCCAACAGAGAAAGGAAGATAAAAGCCTACACCAAATCTTGCTTTGTGGGATTAGCTCACCCATCATACCCACCCAGCTCAATTCCTCTCAGTGGGCACAGCTCAAATGCTAGCTCCAGGGCCAAAGTAAAATCACTGGCAAGAAGTGGTGCAACAATGGCTTTGTGGAGTGAGGAACTGGCTCTCTGGTCTCTGCTGCCAAGAAGCAACATTTGGCTGCTTCTCACTTTTTCAAAATATTTTTCAATGCCTATATTCTTTTCTTTGATAGCTAGCATCATCTTTTTTAATTCCTTGGGGCTCCCCCCGCCCTAGATTATAGAATTGGATGCAAATCTCATCAGTTGCATCCCCTTGCTCCCCAAAGATGAACGTAAGAGCTCTCCTGTTTAAAGATTTTTAAAGGATCATTATCAAACATGAGGAAATGGCAAAGCTAATAAAATGTGTAAGCCCTGGTTCTTGATAATTCTTTCTCACATCTTCTAGAGGGCTCAATGTGTTTGTTTGTTTAATATATATATGCTGAAAAATCTCTCCCCCCGTCCCCTTTTGGGAATTTATTTTTATTCCTAAAAATGAGGTTTCTCCAAACCCAAACACCCACCCTCATTTTGGCCCTGCCTTTGGGAAGGTCACATGGACACTGTCCTCCTTGTCTGCCCTCCTCCTGGACTACAGGTTTGATGCCAACATACCTGAGTGCCACCAAAGACAGAGCAAGCTATTTACTAACCATGTGGTGAGCCTCCCTGACTCTTCCGCCCAGAGCTCACTAGCACAGCTCTCGGGTCAGGAAGACCTGGGCTTGAATGCTGGCTTCACCAGGATTCCTGGGGAGTGGGCCAGTAACCTGACTTGATGGGGTCTGTTTCTTTGTAATACAGGCCTTACTCCACAGGTATGTAAAGTGCTTACTAGGGCTTGGTACACCACAAAGACTGGTATTACTCATACTCATTTCGGAGATGTTAGTTCTGAGAGGATAAAGGCTTACTGAACCAGCTGACAAAAACAAGAAAAGTGATTTTATCAAAAAGGACCTTAACTTCGAGAATTATGGAGATAATTTCCCCATATATAAGTGAACAAATGAATTAATGAAACTTTAATTTTTAGTGAAGAAGCCTCTGATTTAGGAAAGACACATAAAGTTAAAAAACCAGATGAAAAAGGAGTCAGGTAACAAACCAGGGTTTTGTCTGCTCAAGTTTCAATATAATCCAAAGGTCAAAGATCTATAAGGGCTGGCAGCTATTACTTGGCAGATATCTGACAGGTATAGGACAGAGGGTGAGGAGGCATAAAGGAAGGAATATTAGGCTAGGGAATCAGAAAACCTGAAGTCAGGATCTAACTCCATCACCAACAGAATGTACAAAATTGGGTAAACCATTTAATCTCTCATAATCTCAGTTCTCTATCTCAAAAATGACAGTGTTTGGGGGCTCAAAAAAGCACACATGTAAAAGGGTATTTAACAAATTATAAAGGAGTGCACAAGTATAAATTTTAGTAAGAACACCGAGTCCTGAGTCTAGAAGTCCTTTGTGACATTCTAAGATGAGATCTAGTAACCAGTTGGGGGTGGGGTGAAGTGTACATAGAATAACCCACTAACTAAGGGATGTGAAATTTAGGTTCAAATCTTTGGCATCCTTTATGCCAGTTCAGCAAGCTCACCAAAGGATACATAATAGGGAAAAGAGGACTTCTAAGAGCAGCATTCTCATGTTATTTACTGAAGTAAAAGACCTCAATACAGAGAGGATGATCATCTGATCGTGCAAGGGAAAGAATATATAAATGGACACAATGCACACCACCTACCTGCTTGGGGAACTTTGGGGCAGCTTGCACAACTCTATTGAATCTGTCAATGTTGACTTGTCCTTACTCATTTACTAGGTTTTAAGAAAAAAATAAGAGAAATGACATGTTGTGCATATTTTTCTTAAAGGTTTCGAGGGGAACCCTCCAAGTCTATCATTTTACCTCATTCTGAGGCCTGAAGTCCACTAATATTGCTGACACTAACTAGGCTCAAGGAAGAGGATGCGGTTTTTGTGAGTTCAAGTTGCTAATCTCACTGTGTAAACCAGTTATGCTGTTGTAATTATTAATTTGCAAAGTAAAAAAAATCAAGTATAGAAGATAACCCTTAATTCTACATCTGTAGTGGCAGTTAGGGAGATGACAGGCAGCATGGGACACGTAGTGCCCTGAAACTTCTACGTATTTCAAACAAACCTTTAGCATGCTGCCTGCTTAGTGCCCTGGAACACCTGGCTTCACACTGAGTGACAGCACAGAGCCATAAAGGAAATAGGTAACCATGAAAAATGACATGATGGCATTTAGTTTTCCTTAACACCAGTGATCCCTATTCATCTTAAGAAATTTTAGAAAGATCACACTATATCTGCTTTTTTATAATCATGGTCTTGCATCACTTAACAATGAAAATACATTCTGAGAAATGTGCTGTTACATGATTTTGTTGTGCAAACGTCATAGAGTGTACTTATATAAACCTATGTAGTAGAACCTACTATACACCTGGGCTGTATGATGTAGCCTACTGCTCGTAGGTACACACCTGTACATCATATTACTGTACTCAACACTGTAGGTAATTTTAAGGCATTATGCTAAGACATTATGACAGCTATGACATGACTAGGCAATGGGAATTTTTCAGTTCCATATAATTTCGTGAAACCACCATCATATATGCAGTCCATCATTGGCCAAAACATTCTTATGTGGAACATGACTGCATACCTCTTATATAGCACTCGTTAGGTGGCATTTCAAGTTAAAACTGTTCATGACCTTGCCTTTCTTTCCCCCAGTACGTAAAAATTTCCCAAGGGCGGTTCTTTTTCATTTGTGCGTTCCACACAGCACCTACAACACAGTCTGTGAATTCTAGTAATTCAGTAAGTTTTGTGTAATTTGCTCTACCATGGAAATAACAAGTGTTTTGGCACTGGTGTGTAACTACAGAGGTTGAGATATCATTAAAGAAAACAGCAAGGCACCCCCCATCCAAAGAGAGAAATAAGTGTGAGCTTCCCCCACTTGCCTGCAAGGTGGTAGAGGTAGGACACCACAATCCTTTCTTAACAAAAGTGACAGCAGATTACTGATTCTTGGTAATGTAAAACTGTGGGCTCTCAGGTTTTTAAAAGAATAAAAGAATCATGTCAGGTTAAAGAAGGGAAATTGTGGAGCCTCAGTTTCTAGTATAAAAGATATCATATAATATATACATCTCGAGGTGGCTGTGAAAAGAAATGAGTAACTGAGTTGAAAGCA